ATAGCTCACAGACTAATGTAATGCGTGTGATATTGACAGATATAAAGCTATGGCGAGTACTGGCCTTCAAATCTAATTCATAAAAACCAACAAAACACTAATCCATAAGTTTTATGTCTTACTATTATACTACTATTCTATTAATTAGTAAAATGATTTATAATTTTTATTAAATTTCTATATTTAGATAGATAAATTTTGATACCTTATGTTTTATTCTTGTACAATTCTCAATTACACTTTTTATGATAATTTATTTGTTAAAATTTACTGATTCTAAACGTTTCCAAAACATATACCAGTACTTACAAAATTTTAATATTATTATACAAGTTTTTAAATATTATTAACTCAAAATTATCTAAATGATTCGTATTAGATTTTAATTTATACAAATGATTAATGTACAATTAAGTTATAAGATTTATGATATTTTGGAAATATTTTGTTTAACTTCATACTTATTAATTACTATTCAATTTACTAGTTAGAGTATTAGTAAAAATTATTATGTTTGCCCCTTTAATGACTCTTTATTACATGACTTAACAATTACGGCAATTCAATGTCTATTTAAAAGACTATATTTCACATCAAATTAAAAGTCAAGAGTTATAGCTTTTACAATAATTGTTAAATATTAATTATTAAATCGAAAATTAAAATTTTAAAAAAATATATTATAATTCTTAACTTGAAAATTTGATTACAATGATAATAAAGTAAAAGCTATTATTAAATAATTTAATTGAAAAATTCTTTTAAAGCAAATGTCAATCAAAATGAAACATACATTTAAGGAAAATATTTTGTATGTAATTGAAACATTAAAAGCCATTAAATATTTAAAGGGAAACTATACTGTATATTATATTGACTGAATCATATAATTATGTCTTTCTAAACTAGTTTGTGTATAAAAAGTCATGAATTAACTGCAGAGTCGTTACTTAATACCACAGCAGGAGATGGTAAAACAAATTCAATTCATTTCTAATATAAAAATTAGTAATGAATAGCAAACAAATTTATTAAAATATACTTTCAATATTTTTCTTATGGTTGTATCAAATCATACTTACTTTTTTACAGTCTATTTAGATTTATTTTTGATAATATTTCAAAGAAAATAATTGTTAAACAAGTTTAAAAAATTATTTTTATTCATAAAAACAGTTTGATTGACACTAAAAGATCGTAAAATGACAAAAAGTAGAGATTAATAAATAAAAGTGTGAATTCAATAAATAAGGAGCAGAGGGTGCGATAGTGTGGTCTGAATAGTGTTCACAAAATGTGTTCAAATGAGTTCTTCATCCAAACAGGTTGTCCGACAATTTAAACATATTTTTTGTCTATTAATTAGAAAAATAAGAATCTCTTTCAACACATTTAAAGAATTGATTTAATGATTGAATGGAGACTAAAGTGTTCATAAACTAAAGGATAGGTACGACAATAGCATATACAGCAATATATCAACAATTCATATGACTCGCATTATTACATACAAAACATGTTTGAGAAGTCAAACACTTAATCGGCTTCATTGCAGGTCTGATATAATTTAGTACAATCGGCGCCATTCCTTCCCTGACGTGAGGCCTCGTAGTTAGCACTGAATGGGACCGACTTCTGGCTCTCTAACAGATAACTGGAGGCATATCTAACAAAAACAACAAAGTTATTCAGTTAGCATTTTACATAACATACAACTTATAAGTAAGACATACCCTCCCATTTGCGCGATAAGATATCCCAGTTCTCGCCCCTCTCTGGAGGCAAGGGCTGATGCCTCGCAGGTATGCTTCTGAATGCAGTGCTCGTCGCTTGTGAGCACAGATCTCACGTATCCCTTAACCACTGAAATGCCGGCCACCGCCGCGTCGTCTATTGAGTCGCGAATACCTCTCGAGGCGGAGGTCCGCGCCCTTTGACCGAAGGATGACTTCAACATATCTAACACCTCCAGTAAGAACTCATTGTTAGAAACGGTTTACGGGTTTGACAGATGAGGACATACTTTAACCAAAACATTGAGCACTTGGCGAGAAGTGGCAGAACTTTCTTCGGTGGATCCGAACAATAGCTTCACCACAGTTTTGACAATATTCTTGGTGTTCAAGAATTGCGACAATTCCTTCTTGTCCTGATCAAACCGGAACTTCCTCTCATCAAACCGTCCCTGTCTTTGATTAGTCTGACTCTCAGTCGCATTCTCTGACTTCTGAGCCAAAGCTAAGGCCAACCAAACGGTCAATAAGAAGACAATTACTGAATATTTCATGACGACTGCAAAGGGAATGAATAAAAGTTTGCAAATGTTATACAATGTTATATAATATAACAATGTTCAATGTTAAGATCTCAACTGTTATATCAGAGATATGTTTGTTAGCTAGAGATAAGTTTGTGAAGTTATGATTTTAAAGTTTGTATGCCGCACACAACCGTACATTTGACCCAAATTTGGTTGTGTTTTGCTGGAGACAAGTAATGTTAATAAAGTTCCGGTTCTATGCGTACAAACGCTTCCCCATTCATTAACTGAAGAAAAGGCAGTTTTTCAAGTTCAAGGTATGCTTGACTTAAAAAATAACTGGGCTTTCAATTCAATGGTATGCGTTATAAAACTGCTACTCACTACTGCATTCAATTTATAAATTATAAAAAAAATTGCAATTTAAAAAACTTATCACATGTTTGACTATTGGCGAAAAGTTCATGAGTTCTGCATTTCTAAAGATTTACTCAAATTGTGTAAACTTTGATTAGATTCGCAAACAATTAGATTAGTTAAGAATCATTAATGCAAATGCATTGATTGTATGATTAAATTTTAATAAAAAACTTTAAGACTTTTCCTTTACAATATGGTATTCATACAGATAATAATATTTTTTAAATAATTAAATTATAAAAATAAGAGGAAATAAAGTAATGTAATAAAATCTAAAATGCAGTTGTTTTATGTAAAAGCACTTTATATAATACAATAATAACAAGAGATTAAAATTAGTCAAATTTAAGTAAAATGAATTTTTAAACTTTAAAACTTTTAATTTAAAACTTAATTTAAAAATTTAATTTAAAATTTGAATTTTTAAAACTTTTAGACATAACACATACAGTAAGCTTTAAAACATTGTGAAAAATAAAATAACTACAGCATAATGCTAGTCTACTAAAATATAATCCAAATGAATTGTTAGTAGAGTTACATATTGTACATTAAAAACATTAAAGTTTTTAACCGTAATATAAAAATACAGATAAATAGGAGAGAATTGAGTGAAATAGTGATATAATGTGGAAACTCACAGAATCGCTGCTCAAATGTATTCCTTATTCAAGACACAGAAAGATGTGGTGAACTCTTCTCGTGAAGAAGTGGTGTACAACTAATCTGATGGTTGTATGGCTTATATAGTGGCCCAGAGGCCGATACATGTGATGGTGGGCTGAGTCATTGGCCCGGTTCTGGTGTGACGGGTCGCTCGCCTTCCCATCCTCTTAAGGTCACGGATGACTTAATTGCAACCTAACGGTGCTCTGACTAACACAAGGATATCACCCGAGATATGCAGCACTTCTCACATCCAACACAACCACTGCTCCAACAAATACATTGCCTGCTAATTGTCACCCTAATTAACCTGCTAAGTGACATGTGCACCAAACACCTAGTACATTTGATGGCTATTTTCGGGTGTCTAGAGTGGTGTGGACACTGGTGGATCACCCCTTCACCCCACCCCTTGGACATGGGTTCATGTCTAGGCATAGGATGTATGGCATAAGTAGGGCATAACATAAGGATGTCTTGCAGATGGAGGAATCAATTGAAGTGTTGTTCACATATTTATGAATAAAATACTATGAACCAAACATTCATATGTTTGCAGATATAGTGCTATATTTCATATGGAAAGCCTATCAATGAATTGATTGCCACCATTTGAGTGGTGGTTACAAAGTATCCAAAGTGTAAGAATGAGTCCAAAATAAATGCATTCATTAATTGCATGAAAGGGTTGTGCGGAAAGACATTGAGATTCATTGAATTAAACGCTTTTTATCATATATTAGACTAAGAAATGCAAGGATTGCACGACAATTACATCACAGCTATGACTGACTAATGGACTGTTGAGTGCCTATGAGTGCAACCATTCATTCATTCATCCATTCAATGGTACATCACTTCTAATGTGTTATCATTTCTGGCATTTAATTCAATTCAAGAATTAACACTAATTTCTATTATTAAATACAAAACAATGCATTGTTTGGCACAAACACACAGTCAAGTGAAACAAGTTTTTGAACTTTTCTCACAAATCACTGCTCTCTTGATCACGAGTTGCGCACATATATAGTGGGGGAGGGGAGGGGTGGGGGTGCAGGGGTTGCCACTGTCGGTGTGACAAGTGGTCAGACGGCACTCATGGACAGCAATAATGGCAATCATAGGCATAGCACTCATTGACAGCATTCATGGGACTCGTGGTGACCAGCGGTGACAGTGTTGTCGTGTTTGTTATGTTTGGTTATTGTTGTACACAAACAGACAGACTGTAAGCAAACGTCTGCCAAATGAATGGAAAAGTTTGGAGGGAGTGGTCAGCAGTGAGCAGTGCGTGACGTGCGGTGGGGCCGCACATGGCGTACGTGCGACACATACAGCGAGTGAGTGGTGGGCGGGGAGTGCGATGCGAGTGTGTTTGCGGCGTAATTGTTGGTTGTAGTGGTGGTGGGGCGACCAGAACTGGTTGGAACCGGTATTGAATGGAGTTATGGCGGCATTGAATGCAATGAATGTGTTATGCATTAAATGGTTGAGACATCGATAGCGCGAAATATTAATCATTTGATTCATTGACTACACGTTTGCAGCGATTGGCCACTCAGTCCACTGTTGGCTACCATTGAGTGACAGACCGCAACACATTCACCACAACCACAGCCATTGCAGTGACAGTCAGTGCGGGTGTCGTACGGCGAGCACACACACCACCACTACTACACCACTACTACATCACCACTACTACGACAATACCAAACACTACTCATTCATAGCAGTCATACGCGTGAATGTGTCGCACATCACATCCAATACATCCACTCTTATCGACTGATTGGTGACACTCTTGTAAACTAATGTTAGAACAGGTATACAGTGATTGTCTTGATTTGATTGTCCCCTACAATGGATTAATTGCATACATGTTGTGACAGTTGAATGTAAAGCCAATGAATTCAAGCATTGATAGCATGAAGAATGCAATCAACAGTCCATCAGTCAATGCCTTCTGCGGACAACCACAACGTAAGTGTTGTTGGGGTGGAAGTGATGGGCAAACCATTGATTGTCTCATTGTTATAGTGAATGGCAATCCGATGAACTCATTGGCAGAACAGGCGAACAAACTGTTGGACTTCAGTCAGAAGCTGGACATAAATCTGTTGGACAGTGTCGTGAACTGCATGTATGGCGGCGAAGGCGCTCAGCAACGGGTGGCGCAGGAGATACTGACCACTCTTAAGGAACATCCGGACGCGTGGACTCGTGTGGACACGATTCTCGAGTTCTCGGGCAATCAGGAGACCAAATACTATGCCCTCCAAATCCTCGAGAATCTCATCAAAACCCGATGGAAAGTATTGCCCGAAAACCAGTGCGAAGGCATCAAGAAGTTCATCGTCGGTCTCATCATTAAGACCTCATCCGATCCCTCGACTCTTGAGAGAGAAAAAGTCTATTTAAACAA